TGCAGCTGCACTGCAAATCCCTCTCAGGGCTACAGATCACTCAAACGAAATAGATTCCCAGATTAAAAAAAAATAACAACGTTAACAAATTAAATAATTTTAGTTGAGAGGTAACTTGTTAAGGTGAAAAATACGCTCGTGGCCTTTTGTGTCCACTTTTCTGTAAAACAAAGATTTAAAAGCCTTTTTTTCCCCCATCTTAATTCACATTTAGACAAACTGGTTTTGCTGATGGGATGGGGGAGGACAGTGATTCTGGCCCTGCCAGTGAAATAAGCAGAATATTGAACAACTGAGCAGTGAAGACATTTGAGGCAATCTGCCTGGGATTCTTCAGTTTTAGTCAACTTCTATCCCAGTCTGCCTTGGAAGAGAGGGGAAAACATGTTTTTTCCTTCAGTTCTGCAATCTCTCCTATAAGGGTGGGTGCTGCAGAGCTGACTGCAGGCAGAACAGAGGCAGCAGCTGCTGGGTACAGCAGAGTGAAATGGCCACAAAACCTCCCTTACCAGCCACAGCATCAGAGCCTGAGGTAGCCATGATTTCTGCCGGGGTGACAATTGTACTCCTCCCCCTCTGTCAGCTTCTGGGACCCACTGTAGAGGAGCCTTTGGAAAATATAGTGTGTGGGGTGGGTAAGGAGAGGTTGGTGGAGTCATTTCCCACCACGATGGTTCCCCTGCCTGGGCACATAAAACCTTGTTTGTCTGAGACCAGAGGGAAACAAAAATCATGGCAGTAAGAAGCATGCACAAGGAGATAAAGGCTTGAGCCTCATTCTCCCTGGAAAAAATGGGAGAAAAATGGCTTTCTTCCAGAGCATCCTTAATGGAGAGAGAGATTCTGAGATCACCCCCAGTGATTTCTTGATTAGACTCAACAAGTGCTGCAGAACTGCATTACCCCAGGCACAACCTACTGTTCTGCACTGAGCCCCATTTGATGTATCACACAGACACGTATCCTACCTCCTATTTCTATGAGAGACAAATTTCACAACAGCTGATTTTCTGGCTTACCTACAGGAAAGCTGATGTGAAAATGTCCTTTTCCCCCATTCCTTCCCTAGGGAAGAGGTGGCTGTCTCAGAGCATAGCATTATCTCATTGGTATATCTGGTAGTTGATGATACTACCCTTTATCAAGTAAGAAAATTGATCTTTCAGTGATCTAAAAGATGGGGATGCCTGTGCTCTGCTTCTCTGAAAATTTCACCTGGCATTCCTCTGTGTCTGATAACAGTGTATGAGTTTGGTATTTTTTCCCTTTGAAAGAAATTCAGCTTATTAAAAAGGTACAAGAGAGGCAAATAAATAAACGAAAAAAGCTGAGTCACTAAGACAAGATGTGTGTTAACAGTCCTCAAGGTTTGGGGCCATAGCTGTCACATGCTTAGTTGTCACTGAAGCAAAAGGAAGTGCAATGACAGAAAATAGAGGCCTAACTTTTGGTTCAGCTTCAATGCTTTGAAAATGGAAATCACAGAAGTGCTCCACTTCAGAGAGCAATCGTGCTGTAACCCTCCTACTGACCTCTGCATGGAGGTGCTGAGAAATTCCATGCTTGAAAAGGATGTAATCAGTAGTAATGATTAAGAATTATACAATAATTAGTACTTAAGAAAAACACTTGTCCTTGAGAGCTTTCAGTTAAAGATGAGAAAGAGATCAGAGCAAAAATTATCCAAATCAGTAATATGATACTTTGGAATAAAAATAGGATCTGTTTTTACCTATGGAAAGAGTCAGGCATGTCTCTGTAATTCCACTTTTGGAAAAGACAAAAGCAAAAGATGGAGTACCACTGAAGAATATTCCAGCTAAAGAAATCATCATGGCCAGTCTTCGCGAACGAAGATTTGGGAAAGGTCTTTACCCTTTGAGCCTGCTCAACCAAAGAAATAAATGAGCAGATATCAACTGGTAAGCAACATCCTGAGGAGAAAACATCTGTATAGCATTTGGAAACAAGATATTATATATTGTCAGTTTTAACAAAACTTCTTTGCCACTGCAAGTTTACTCCAGTGAGATCATATCACATTCTTAGGATAGTACCTCCAGGTGACCTCAGCTTCCCACCTCCGAATCCTCATACCCCAAAGCCTCGCTCACTGCTTTGGCTCTTGCACTAGCAGGCACTGCTCCAATTCTAGCTCACCAAAGGGAATACTCACCAAACCTTGGCTCCAACAGAGATCTTCATCTCTGTTTTTCATAACTCTGATATCTCTCCTCTGGTCCTTACATCAACTTCCTATAACTTGTGTTACTCATTGTCTCCTGTCTGCAATTTCTCTGTGGCTCTGCTCCGCCCACTTCATTTACTCGCAGTGACTCCCAAGCCTGTCTGGAACTGCTCTTTTATTGTTTTATACCATGTGCTATTGCTCCTTAGAAGACTGAGAATATCTTCTGAGCACCTCATAACAGCACAAGGCTGCCCATCTTCACATGACAACTTTCCCAAGATGTCTTTTCATATAAAACTCTAAGGCAAAAATCAGTGCAGGAAGGGAATCCATAATTAGCACTGCTACTTATGTGTCCACCCTACTTCATTCTACAAGTATATTGTTAAAACACAGACTATCAAGCCCACTGGTTTTTGGTGCATTTTCTCCACACGTGTTTTTATCAATCCTCTCTTCAGTTAATAAACCCTGCAGGTCAAGGCCCACGTGCTCACCCAAGGGACATGCTCAGCACTGCCTGGCACATTCAAAATTCACAGACTGATGAGAGTTTGGAGCACTTCACGTCTGAAGTGATTTCTGGAGTGATTGTTTCACAAACTGTGATGAAACTTTTTACTAAAACAGCCAGAGCATTCACATAATTAAGCCTAATGTCACTTCCAAAGGGTTTCCAAGTCAGAGATTGGTCTTATAGCAGGCACAGTGTTCCCATGGGTAGGATGTATGTTCATACTCATCCAGAAACTCATTCCTTGTTTTTAACCTAAATGCATTTTTCTTCTTCACCATTTTCCAAGTCTGTAAATCTGTTCATTACCTTATGCAATTTATTGCCTTCCTTGAATATTGCATTGTTTAGCAGGTCTCAGTATTATTGCTGCTTTCAGACCTCATTGTAACACTTCACCCTCTTCTCAGAGCTTCAGGGTCACTGCAGCTAAAACATAGAAACTCCTTCTTCATCCATGATACATCACCCCACACTTCAGTCATCTTCACTGTTTCAGAGATGATACTCCCTCCTAACCAACTATCTACTTCCACAGCCAAAAGCAGGCCCCCAGAGCTGAGCACCACAGTTCTCATCTCTAGGGATTCACATTTTCTCTCCAGCTTTTAAATCCTTCTTGAAAGACAAAGAAGAAAGGCTCTTCACCTTTGTTGGGACTTAACCCAGCAGGCAGCTAAACATCACAGGGCCGGTCTCTCACTCCCCCCAACAGTGGGATGGGGAGAGAGAGAACCGGGAAAAAAAGTGTTCGTTCACCACTGACTGATGCTCAGCCAGTTCCTGAGCAGATGTCCCTGGCCAGCTCCCCCCCAGGTTTACTGGCAGCATCATACACCTTCAGTTATAAAGATAAACTACCTCAGAAAACAGAGTATTTGTTTCACTTTCTCCAAGGAAAGCTGCTGCAGGTTCCAGGAGATGAACTGTGCTTGGCTTCAAAGGCCGACACATGTGACTCCCCTTCTTTGACAGCACAGGCTGTTCCAAACGTTATGCTGATCAGGGCCAGTTAGGAATCATTTTCCCTGCATTTAATTTTACATTGATTCAAGTAACGCAATCAGACATGTTGGCAAGATTTGTGCATATACAGCTGAGGAAAATGCACCTATTCAATTTGCTATTCGGTTTATTCCTTAGGTAATACTAATTGATTTCTGTGGGGGGTTGGAATGAGGACACAGAGAAGGGAAGACAGAAGAACCTCCTGACCAGATTTGCACCATCTCTTATGCCTAATGTAATGAACAAAGGTTACTTGGGTCACCTAAGGGCAAAATTGCCTAACTCTACACCATAAACACGTAACAATTTCATCCTTCCTCCTGCCCTTGTAAAATAAGTTGCTTCCAACACAGCCACTGTCTGTGCACTGAAGGCACTACCCAGCAGTAACCGGGTAGTGCCTTCTCTGCCCCAGTCAGACAAGGTGCCACCCTGATGCAGGGCACACGTGCAGATCCAGCACAAGAGTACCTGGTGGGACATATACAGTGTAGAAAGAGTTCCCTGAACCAACAGTTGGGAAATGAGGGTCCTAATCCTGCAAAGACATGCAGGACGTTTGCGTGGCGAAGGGATGTCAGACAGACCCTTGCAATGGGGGCCTTGAGCAGCACCTGAGCCAGAGGGAAGTTATGTGAACACCTGCTCGTGTGTGTTCAGTCACCAGTGAAAGTGTGAAATCAATTTCATATAAATCGGAACATACACACAAAAATCTTACCACATATTTCCATTAGTTTGTTCTCTGTTTCTTTCGATCAGCTTAGTATTTATAGAGTGGTTTGAAGAGAATCCTATTCACTATTTATAAATATTGATTTTAAGCAAGTCATTCAATTCATAACCATGAATTACCTAAGAAAACAGTGTTTACCTTATTTTTTCTCTCTGAGGAAAATTAAGCATTTAATTATTGGTAGGATTTTACTGTTGAACTCAGTAAACAAGTCCTCAAAAATAACAAAGGGGGACAGAGATAACTACCTGTGCTACAGTTAAAAAATGTCAATAAAAATTCCAGTGTTTACTGCATATCTTAATTTAAGGAAGTACTGGTGCCGATTTAGAAAGACAGCTGCATCTAATAAAAAACAAATAGCCCTTGGCTCCAGTATTTTCAGCACTTTTACATTTGAAAAGGCTCAATTTCACCAGAAGCCTTTATCTTCTGTCTAGAGCAGCTCTGCTGTGCAGACCACTCATTATGGTAACAGACGGCAATGAAAAATTCCGTGGAGGACACAGATCAATTAGTCAATGGCATTCACTTACCAATATTGATTAGGCCATGCATTGTTTCACTTCCCCTGTGATTCCTTCTGTCATGAGGAAATGGTTACACCTTTCCTGTAGGGTAGAGGAAAGCAGGAGTCATGAAAACGAAATGACTTTGAGGTTTATAAAAATCCCATCTAACTTGAATGGAAAATGGCCAATTAAATACTCAAAGAGCAAAAGGCAATAAAGCAGCTCAGGCTCAGCTCTTTGATCATGCAGCCCTATGGTGAGACCATTTGGCACAGTATCTATCATACAAACTAATGAACAGACCAAGAGCACCCAGGAATGAAACTCTGCCAAAGTACTGGCTTTCAATCATTTTTTAGATAACACTTTATTTTCTCCCTTCAATCTCAATCTCTTACAAATTCATGTAGTCCCCATTTCCATTTCCTGGACTTTTGGTTACCCCCAGTTTTTGATTATCCTTATTCTGTAAACATTTTCCGTTTCCTGATGATAGGTCTGTCATACATAGCCAACAATACACATAGCTGTTCTGCTAGCACATTCTCCTGATGAATCTGCTGCTGTAGCAGTCCTTAAAATGTCAGCTTTTTCATTACTGCAACATTTTTTACTCCATTAAAAAAACTTACAGCAAACTATTAATTTTTTATGGGTTATCAGTTACAACTCATTTATACCCAGGCAAAGTGCAACAGTTTATAAAATTGTGTGTTGTGTGGTATGTGACTGATGAGATGCTGGAACCTATTAAGCAAAAAATATTTCCCTTAGTCTGCTCTTCTGAAATTATTCTTACAGCTGAGAAAGTCTTATGGTCAGGCCAAAGACTGACTGCCTCCATCTGCATTCCTGCTTGTGTTTATTGCTCTGGCTAAGGAAGCCATCAGCAAGGAGATGCAGCCTGCCAGAAACAGGATAGCTTGTAGTCTGAACACTCCTGCTGAGTTCCCAAGCCAAGGCAGCTGTGAACACACACAGGGACCAGAGGCACTTGCAAGCCCCCAGGGTGACCCACATGCAGTGTCTCTCATACTGCACATCACTAGTTCACAAACTACACAGATGACAAAATGAGTTTTTAGATGCAGTCTTACTCTGCTATACTTTTCATCTTAAAATCTCTCTCGCCTGCCTGGAAATCTCTTTTTCACCAGCCCAGTTCTGCAGCTTAACTTATGCACATAGTGTGGTAAGTTCACTGACCACATCACTGCACCACTCAATCATCACTGCAGTTCTCTACTCAGGCCTGCCCGTGTCCGCCCTGTTTTCCTGCACTGCCCTTTCTCATGCCACGTTTTCCACAAAGGCCCAATCCTTCCTGAGAGCACAGCACACTCTCCACCAGCACCCACCTCTCAGAAACACCCTAATATCTGCCAGCTTCCCCCCAAAGCCACTTTGTGACCCTCTGCCTGCCCTTCAGGCTCTGCATGTTGCCAGCGATGCTTCTCTTTCCCATCTCCCTCCCAGGGGAAGGGTGTCCTGCCAGGTGCCAGCACTGCACCCTTGCTGTCACTGACACAACCCCCTTGGTGTCTGAGCAGCCCTGCGGAAGGCAAAGCCAGTGGCTGCTCCTTGGACAGTTCACTTCCCATCTCCTGCCTTCATCTTCTCCCTCCTCTCTTATCCTTTGCCATGTTAAAGAAGCTACAACTTTATGTCCTGCAAAAAAAATGTATCTTTATAAACTAAATGTTTTGAGAGTCAGTGTAGTTAATTCTTTACAGCTGTTCCACTGTAATAAATACCCACTGAGACTTGCAAAAGAGCGACTGGAGTGTGCCAGTGAGAAAGGTTTGTGTGGCATCCGACCACAGAACTGCTCAGAACTGGCAGGATCATTTTCGTACAGGTAATTCTTCTGGAAAGAAGGGTTACGTGCTGGCTTTGGAATGGCAGATATGCAAGGGGGAAATGACAGTTAAATCCCATAGGCAGACTGCGATGCAGAAAAAAAAAAACAGGGATTACTTTGAAGTTTCTGATCCAGTGCTCTGGAGCCTTTAATGTGAATGAAGGGTGTTTTAGAAGGACATAGTGTAGGTCTTATTCCTCAGCTCAGGGAACACTGAGACGGAAGAAGACGCCCACTCATGCATCTTAGGAACTCATGGGTGCTCCTGGATTTAATACAGGAATGGAAAATACCAAGAAATTTATCAACCTACTTAAAGTGGTCAAACCCACATCATGTTGGTTGGAGCCTGCCTTGACTTCTTTTCCGGTCCATTTTTCATATTTTTGGCTATTCTATGTCATCACAGACCTGTAATTTGAAAAGTAAGGCTGAATTTCAATTCTATAGCAAAAGATCCACACAGAAATATTTCTTCCGGAAAATTCCTTCTGAAGCTGGCCCAGAACAATTCTAGGGCTGTTGGGTAGAGAGGCCTGTCCTTGCTGTCTCTGTCAATGAAATGCAAAATCCAAAGAATGGGTGCCTCTATACAATTGCATCGATAATATTTCCAAATTATTTTTCTTGTTATTAATGTCTTATTAACTGCCACAGTTAGTCATTGCTTCTGAAAGCTACTGCATTACAAATAATCCAAAGCATTCTTAACTAAATGAGAGGAAAAAAGAACAAAGATAGTAAAGTTATTTTTTTTGCTTTGTTTCCCACTCCGTTTCATCAATCATTATTACATATTACCTGTAATTCTGTTGCTCTCATAAAAACCTTTTATTCTTGACTTCAGGGATATATTTTAAGAAGTTACTAAGTTTAGAAACCAACAGGCCACCCAAGTAATTTTTCTAACTTACCCACAGTTCTCTTTTGTTCACACGGAGGGAAAAAAATAGTAAAAAAATTCAGTAGGTTGCAACTGAACTCAAGAAGTAACAGCCTGCAGATTTCAATGTCCTACTTGGTCTTCTTTTATTACCCCTTCTTTTAGCCCTTCCAGTCTGGCAGAGGCAGGCCAGTATTCCTCTTAGCACCTCAGGGTGACCTTATGGCCACGCAGCAACTGGGGTAGGATCTTGGTTTAAAAACCACAGGATGACCCCATGAGGATGTAACGTGCTCTTTACAATTCCTTCTCTAATTTGCATTGAGGTACAACCACCTTGATTAGAGATGTGAAATGCATTTTAACATGTCCAATAACTAGTTTTCACATAATTTTAGTTTTCACATAATTTTAGAGCATAGATGTTCTTTCCCAGCTAAATAAAAAGATGCATATAACACATGGATAGATATACTTAAGAGCACTGTATATATGGGTTACAACATATCTTAAGTATCACTAAAAATAGAACAGAACAGTACACAAGTTGTTCTGCTTAAGTGTTGCAATGTCTCACAGGAACACTTTAAAGGAGAAAGAAGCACAATCTTCACACTTGGTATTCACAACCTGTTCATTACATATTTCTAGAAATGTGCCCCCTCCCCACCCGTAATTAAAAAGAAAGCTGAAAGAGTAGGAGGAACAAAAATATTCTCAACTTCAATGACAGTACTGGAAAATAATTATTTCCAAACTGCTTATCTGTTAAAAAAAAAAAAACTGGCAAGCTACCAGGATCTTGATTGCTGTAAGCAATTTTATAACTGCTCTGTACAGATAAATTTAACAAAGAAATTAATTTCAGTCTCATAATAAGTCTCATCTCATTACCACAATGTCTGTGCTGCAACAGAGCCTTGTGCAAAGAACTGCTGGTGGAGGATTTTGTCTGCAGACATAAAACAACTGCCTTGAAAAACTCCACCTTAGAACTGAGTGACATTAAACATAATTCTTCCTAATTGTGAAATGGGAAGTGAAATACTGTGAAATAAAGTGAAATTCCTCCTGGTTTCACTTGTATTTTGCCCACTGGACTTGAGGAAAGCTACTTGACTGGGAGTGTTAACTGGGAACACCACACTGCTGGTACAAGAAGATCCCTAAAGCACCTGGATGAGAACCACATGGTGCAGGTGCTGAGGGAGCCCACAGGAAAATGTGCCCTCCCCGGTTTGTTGCTTGTTAACAGAGAGGTTCTCATGATTAGTGGCTGTCCTGGCCACAGTGACCATGAAGAAATTGAGTTTGAAACCTCTGGCGACAGGAGGAAAACTGTCACCAAGACTTCAACCCATCATGCGGTGGGCGGTACAAATTTGGGCTGGGCAATCACCAACTTGTGGAGTTTACACTGGTAATTATATCATGCACAAACACCCAAGTACTTCATGCATGAGCACCATTGTGGGTCCCTTCCAACTGAAGATAGTCTCTGTTTCTAAAAGAAGTGGTCTCCTTCCTTTGTGCCATCCATGCTGCCCTTTGCTGGGACTCCTCTTCACCAGGATATTTCTATGATGTCCCTATGTCCTCCAACAAGTCTTTGAAAAAGCTGGAAAACACAACACAACCGAGATCCAAAATTAAAACTTGACAGCAGATACAGCAATAAGATCTGGATGCTTTGGGCCAATTTATGGCCACTGTGCTTTGCAAAAAAAGGCACAAAACAATAACAGAGTGTGTAACAGCCCATAAATCCTGGCACAGCAGCTCTTGTGCTCGCAGCTCTCAGATGGCACTGCCTGAGCAACGCTCTTATGAATAGCCTGGTTTTTTTCTTCTACCATTCTTATTGGTGTTCTTGTTACGGCACATCAACCGGGGTATAGAAAAAATGAACACATGATATATCCTGATGAAAATCCTGATACGGGTTTCGGCTTTGCTAGTGCATAACTGGGCAGAATCTCATCTCTGAGAGCCACAACACCATTTTCTGCTCCTCCACGCCCCATCCAACAGACTGCAGAGCCCAGATTTACTGGCCCAGAAGGCATTTTTGTCACAAGGTGCTCCTCACACACTCACTGGTGTACCTGACCATGCAAATCAATATCTCTTCATGGAGCACATGCTGCGAGCAGCAAGAAAACAGAGCATTTTCTTCAATCCAGCACATCATTGCAACTTCAACTACGTTTCACCATTTTTTCCCCAATTACAGAATTATTCTCTTCACCAATTTTGCTTCCTTGGCATATACTCATCTACAGCTTTATAGACAGTGCATGCATTTAATACAGCAAATAACCTTTTCTTATTCTTTAATTTTTCCACAGAAAATGAAGATAAAAATCCTCCCCTAAGTTTTTTTTTGGCTATAATTAAATGTGTCTGATTTTTTACTTAAATTTCCTATCTCCTCAAAGAGATTCTTCATTGTTCCTTTCCTTGTTTCCACAGCAACCTTGCCACATCTCTCATTAAGCTTTTTCCTGTTTTCTTCTAATTCTATAAGGAAATCATGACTTTGGGGTTTGTTCCTTGTTTTCTAACAAATGCAGAGATATTTTTATTTATGTCTTCAAACAAAACAAAACAAGGATTCTGGTACAATGGTCATCTCTATCTTGCAGTAATTAGATGATTCTGTAAAATTTCATTTGAATCAGCAGTACTGTCATCAGTCTGTCATTTCACCAGGTTCCACAACCATCACAAGATTTTGCAGTCCAAAGTGGGGAAGGAATCTTCTCTGGACCCCTTTTAAATACATCATATGGGTGCATAAGCCAACAGGACTGAAGTAAAATTTCCATTTAACTTAAAATTTCTCAATAAATACTAACTAGAACTAGTATCAGTCTCCAGTGATTACTACAACCCAGTTCTCACCTAGGGAGAAATACTGAGGCATCATAGTTGAAAATTGTGGTGGTAATCCCCATAAAGGCTGCTCACCCACACTCAGGGTGTAGGAGATACTATTTCAAAGGAAAAAAGAGACTAAAGCAATGAGCTGGGTCTCTTTATGCTGTTATTGCCCTGTGTTTCTTCCCTTTCTTTGCTTTTGCTTCCAGTATATTTTATAAAATGCACTAGAAATTACTCTATAGATAGATGCATCTATGCTTAGATGTCTCTATGCTATAACTGCCAGAAGTGCATCTAAATAATGGAATATCTCGTTTAAAACAACAGAAAAATCATATCAGGTTCTGTGCAACTGCTTCCAGAAGACATGAAAACAGACCTTTCCCCCACCTGAGACTCCCACTGAAGTCAAAGACAAGTCTGTCTGGGAGCTGTTGTAGTTTATAAGCTAATCCAGAGGGACAAGGGTTTATGTTTCTCCTCTAAGCAAAACACAATTGAAGTTCAGGTGTGAATTATTTTCTGAGGCCAACAGATAACAAACAAAACTTCAGTTAGACTTTATTGCAAATGCTATTAGATTTAGCGTTCTGGTTCATACAAATAAATCATACAGACAGGCAGTTTGTGTCCCAACAGTTTCTGTACGTTTTTTACACTTAATGGACTTCACTCTGGTAACAGATGTGGAGAAAGGGACCATCCCTAACACTGTGCATTTTACACACTCTGACAACTGGCTTTCAGACCTCAGCTGAGTGGGGAAACACAGCTGAGAGGATTAACTTCCAGTTCCAGCCCAGACCTTTGCCAACCACAGTTTTTCTTCCTCTCCTCCACCAACAGTGAATGCAACGTTCAATGTCACTTCCTAATTTATTGGAAAACATATGCCTGAACCTTTTCAAAAGGATTGTCTTTGTGGCCTGCTTTTTTCAGAACAGGTTGTTAATGGGACCTGTTTGGGGTTTTCCTACTGGGTCTGTGACACCTCAAAGTCAAGTCACTCCTCAGTTTCCAGACCTCCTCATGTTTTATGACACTTTCATCAAGGGGTACATTTGCTATAGCAGCTGTTCCTTCATATTCAGTGGATTTCAAGCTTTTAAAATACTTACTTGTAAAAACAGAACAAACCTTAAGGTAAAGCATTCAAAGCACTATTATTTTCACCAGCTTGGAATATAAAAATACCTATTTTAGAAAAACCATCCTCCTACACTATATGGGGAACAGAAGTACAGCTGAATGAGAACTTCTCTTGAAAGATTTTTCTTTGCAAATGCACCAACTTATTTCAGCACTTTTCTACTGAGGCCTGACCTTTTAGTAAAGTTATCAATTTGAATAAAAAAAAACTTCTACTGACAAGGACTTCTCAGCTCCAAATTGAGTTTTTAGTCCAAACCAGATAAAAAATTTGGCTGCACCCTTTCAGAGCACATGTTGACTCTCCATGATGCAACCGGACCAGGGAAGTGTGAGCTACACCTTACACCAGGTGTGATGGGGTCCTGAGGGGAACAGAGAGTTTAGCTTTTGCAGAAGCAGCTGGATGCTTCCAGGCAGAGGTTTAATCAACTCTGGCTTTCTGGCTGGCAGCAAATGACTCATTTTGTCCCTGTGGCCCTTAGAAGTTTCTCTCTTCAGCACCTCTGAGGCTTGGCTGGGTCAGCTCCCTGCTCGCCTCAGCAGCTTCTCTGCACGAGCTGCAAATTCTCAGAAGGCTGTTACAAGTCCTGTCTTCCTGAACCTCATCTGCCTCCCACCAAATGCACACAGAAAACTTCCCTCCCTTAGCAGGGGCTGTATCCTAAAACATCTCTAGGGGCAGCTCAGTGTTCATTGGAATGACAAGAGGAACATGAGGTTCTACGTCATTTTAAGCACTGGAGCAGGTAAGTGAGACCACCTCACAGAATAAGGGAAATCACATCTGGCAGCAAATCCTATGCACTGTCTGTTATCACAGAATCACAGAATATCCTGAGTTGGAAGGAACCCATCAGGATCATCGACTCCAACTCCTGGCACTGCACAGTGAAACAGGAGGACAGGCCCAAAAGAGTTCACTAAGAAATTTGGGCCTGCTAACAAGCTACTAACATCCAAAATGATCTGTGCTTGTTCTGTTCTACTTACTGAACATAAACTTAAGAGAATGGTAAAAGAACATGTAATAGGCCTAGAGGTAATAAATTAAGATGCAGTAGGACAAGGCAGACATTTGAACAGGAGAAACAGGCCAGGAGCCGAGGCTTTTTCCAAGCTTCAGTGAGCAGGTCAAGAACAATAGAAAAGAAGAGAGGTCAGGCTGAGGAAGATGAGATTAAGCCCCCAGACCCATGGAGGAAGGATGGAACTACCACCAAAATTGAGGGCCGAGAGAAGCACCGCCCCAAGCCCTGCCTGAGCTCCACCTATACCCCACCTGTTATCATTATGTATAGATAGATGATGTAATCACTTGAATATGCATTTAATCATGTACGAAAATTGTATAAAAACTGCTGATTTTGTGTGAAGCCTTTGAACAAGTTTTTCCAGCAATAGCCGGCTTGCTCCCAGCACTGTCAATAAATACCTTTGCTGCTCAAATATCAAAAGCCTCTGGGCAGTTCATTATTCTGGATTTTTCGGATTCAACAGGACACCCCAAGAACTACACCATGTTCCTGAAAGCACTGTTACACACCTGCTGGAGACACACTGACCCAAGAACTCAGCAGATCAAAGTGCCATGAGCCAAATCAGCTTTACATCAGCACAGTTAGACAATCCCTGACTATGGTGCTCCTGGATAGAACCAGTGCAGAGCTGCTGGGATCACTACTTTGCCAAGGAATTTCATTCTAGATTTAGTATCTCCTAGAGAGCAGGAGTTGCCCACAATCTTGTTTTCCTCTTTAATGCCACAGCTGGAGTTTTGGGTCACTGTTTCATCTTCAAAGTCACAAGGAGTTTGTGCAGTTAGGATTTTTGCTTAGTGAGTCAAAATACCTGTGCAACTTTTCAAAATTTTACAGAAATTATGGGTGGAAGAAATCTGCAGTATCTGACAGAAGTTATTTTCTTTAATAATCTTCATAATAGTAATACCTGTTTAAACACCTTTCATTCTAACTTTAAAACTTATCTGCTCTTGAAAATTGAATTACAATACCTCAACAGAGTTCAGAATAATTCTTATGAAAGCTAACACTTGTCCATCAAAAATAAGGTACATTTGGACATTTTAGGTTGAATTTCTTGGTGATATCTTTTCTGTAAGCTAATTTTAAAGAATTCTCCTGATTGAATTGTCATTGATGATTTGCCTCAGCCCATGGACTATATTAGAGATAAGCAAACCATTTCTTTTAACTGTAACCTGCAAAGTTTGGGACTAATTGTAAAAAATGTAACTTCCATTGGGAGAGGAAAGCAGACATGTAGGCTGCTAAAGGCAAATCAGGTGCTGAACTCTAACACAATAATTTCCTTACAAGCTGTCAATTTATTCTGATTAAAAATAGTAAACAGGTGCTAATTATGATAGCCCTGTTCAGCCTTCAGGTGAGTGAGTGGCTGGAGAGCTCAGAGCCCTGCTCCTCTCCCTCAGAGGGTGGGTCTGATATGACTCCTGGACCCCAGGGAGTGTGGGCTGCCCTGCACGCGTTTCTGCCCCTTGGCACTCACACCTCCTTTTTGATTCTACACCTCTTGTTGGGTTTAGTTACCATGTTAAGGCAGGCC